TAGTTGCTTGAGGATTAGTTTACAGTGACCTTGTACAGGCAGGTTTTTTTCCTTTTTTTTCTCAGTTATAAATGTTCCATTTCTAGGTCATTGATTACTTGAATTTTGTTTTTTTAATCTATTCAATTTTTTAATTTAGTCAATTACCACTGGCCATTTCTATTCAGTTTAAAATATTAGATACAGCTGGCAAGTAGAACATTTGGTGTTCACAGATCACAGGGCATGGTAACTCCAAGGTATTATGAATCTTCTTTAGGTACATCAAGTGACTACAGTGCGACTTCTTTCCCACTAGCTGCATACACAAAATGAGTCTGTGTCACTTCTCATACACTCAGCTCATTCCCCTATGACTCAGAACAGCATATCAGGAGAACCACAGGATAAAATAGATATGACATTTCAAATATATTTAATAGTCATTATCCAGAGCCTGCTTTCAATCCGAACGTTAAAAATCACTTTGGAACATACCTGTAGTGTTTGAACATTAAGCTGCATTAATCATGAAGTAATATTTTAAATTAAATCAACTGGAGCCAATTTCTGCCCTCACCTTCACTCTGCAAGTTCACTGCTCTGAAATAAATCTTCTGAGTTTGTACTTTAAGCTACCTGCTAAAAATTAAGTCATTCTTTGATTAGTACCTTATATCCAATGGTCCAAATTCTGCCATTTCTCACATTCACAAAAGTCAGTAGAGGACAGTGTGGATATAATTGGCAGCAGAATGGAGCCAGCTACAATTTCTAAATGAGCTTTGGTAGAAGACAGAGCATGTAAGTCTTTCACTATAAAGCAATCATCAATGTTGACTCAGGCTACTGGAAATCTGTTTGCTGGTTTATGACAGGATGTGAATTTTGTTAACATCTGGAGGTAGGAGGGAGTCACCACATAAATTTTCTTTCTATTTGACTAAGCAGAATTTTCAGCACTGAAAAATTAGTTATTTATGGGGAGAGGAGGAGGCAATGGGGCCCCAATGATACTGTCAAAAAATATATTTATGGACATATATTCTGGTGAAGAAAATTTTTTAAAAAATTAAAACATACATTTTGGAACAATAGCTCATATTTATATACAAGATTGGAGGGCTATAATACACTGTTGCAATAGATGTCCTCAGTGTGCAATTTCTTCCCTGTCCTGTTAGTTACTGCAGGAGGTATGACCACTTCAGAAATGCCCTCCCTCTTCTCCACCCCAAACCAAAGAGAAGTGAAACCTGTGGAAGTGCCCACCTCTGTCTGACAGTCTCCTGGGAAAATACCCCAGCATGCCTCAAATGAGCTAAACTCCTGCCCACACTCTCACATGCACCTCTTTGGCAGTGCCGTAACTCTGTCTGTGTTTCAGTGGGCATTTTCTTTTGAATCACACAGGAAACATGAATGAGACAGCAGAAGCAGACCCACCAGATGTGGTCTGGTTCCACTTTCATTAAGTCCACCTCTCTTTAGTGACTTGTGGTGGTTCCTACAGTGGTGCCTTACAGCAGACTGCACTGCAGACAAAAGGGAAAGTTAAACCATTGTCTAAAGTGAGGTCCAGGGTATTCTAAAAGTCTCCTACCTGAATTATGGACATCCGGCTCGGGGGAGCCTCGCTGGCGTTAGTCCCTTGCCCTGTGAAGCTGGTGTGGCAGCCCACATGTCCCTGGGGTACAGTCAGGTTGTTGGAGGCGGGCTTCAGGTACATCACCTCAGACCTGGGAGAGCTGAGGGGCAGGCGGGTCTGGTAGTCAAAGTACATGGGTGAGGTGGCCAGGGAAGGGCTGCTCACCACGTTCATAACATTGAGGGGACCCCGGCTGTCCTCGCCCTCACTGGGCACCAGCATAATGTCATTCTTGCTGATCTTCTTCTTCTTGCCCTTGCCCCCTCCACTGCCACTGCCTCCTCCTCCCCCGCCATTGCCTCCCCCTCCTCCCAGCTGAGGGTGGCTATACTCGGCAATGCGACAATTATAGGTGCGGATCTCCTTGTTCTCTCTCTTGCACTTCACAGCAATAGTGATCATGGCAGCCAGCAAGATGATGGAGACAGTGCTCAGTGTCACAATCAGCGGCAGTGACAAGTCCCAGTGTGGCCGCCGATGCTGCTCGCCATTTACCTGTGGCTCGCCAGCCTCGGGCAGGGGCCCTGCCAAGGCCCTGACTATGAGCTTGGCCACAGCAGAGAGGCTGGGCTTGCCATGGTCACTGACTTTTACCACCAGTTCAGCCACAGGGCTGAGCTCCTCCCAGTAGGGGTGCAAGGTGCGTATCTCCCCACTGGTGGGGTCCATCTCAAAGAGGTGCTCCTCATTGCCTTCCACAATCTCATACGTGAGGCGCCCACTCTCCCCAAAGTCACTGTCCAGGGCGCGGACGGTGCCCACAGGGTAGCCCACCCCAGCATTGCGTGGCACCTGCAGCTCAGCAGTGTCGTTGATGAGGGCAGGCAGGACGATGAGGGGCGCATTATCGTTAACATCGAGCACAGTGACACGCACTGTGGCATTGCTTTCACGGTGAGGTGAACCCGAGTCTTTGGCCAGCACACGGAACTCAAAGTGCTTTGTCTGCTCATAATTGAAGCTCCTCAGAGCATAAATAGCACCATTCGTGGGGTTGACAGAGACATAGGTGTAGATGGAGACATCTCCAACATGCCCAGGCAGAATGGAATAAGACACTGTCCCATTTTGGCCCAAGTCAGGATCCTGGGCCAAGACTGAGCCCAGGTACTCTCCAGGGATGTTGTTCTCAGGCACCTGCAACACATAAAGATTCTTGCTGAAGCGGGGTGGATTGTCGTTCTCATCAAGGATCCGGACAGAAAATGACTTGGTGGAGTTAAGTGGGGGATTGCCCCCATCACGTGCCACGATGGTCACATTGTATTCATCCTGTGCCTCACGGTCCAGGGGTCGGTCAGTGACCACAGTGTAGAAGTTGTCATAGTTCTCCTCCAGGGTGAAAGGAATGGCACCAGGCCCACCGCCACCGCCCAGCACCCGACACTGGAGCTGCCCGTTCTTGCCTGAGTCACGGTCGGTGACCCGCACCAGGGCAATGACAGTGCCTGGCGGGGCAGCCTCACTCAGAGCTCCCTGGCGAACAGAGACAAAGCCTATGGTGGGAGCATTGTCATTGCGGTCGATGAGACGGACAGTGACCTTGCAGTGAGCAGGGATGGGATTTGGCCCCAGGTCCCGAGCTTGGACATCAATCTCAATAAGGCCACTCTCCTCATAGTCCAGGTTGCCCTTGACACGGATGAGGCCGCTCTGTGGGTCAATGCTGAACAGGTCACGGACACGCTCTGGTGCGTAGCCACTGAAGGAGTAGAGCACCTCTCCATTGGTACCCTCATCAGCATCAGTGGCATTGAGGTCAATGACTGCCGTGCCGAGTGGTGCATTCTCTGGCAGCTCTACCACATAGGAAGCTGCCTCAAAGATGGGGCTGTTGTCATTGGAGTCAATGAGGCGCACATTGATCTGCACCGTGCCTGAACGCGGTGGGTCACCACCGTCCAATGCTGTCAACACCAGGGTGTGGTGACTCTGCTCCTCACGGTCTAATGGCTTCTGGATTACCAGCTCTGGAAACTTAGTGCCATCACCACGGGACTTCACATCGAGGGAGAAGAGGCCGTAGTCATCACGAGTGAGCAGGTAGGTGCGCAGACCGTTGTCCCCAGCATCTGGATCGTGGGCGCTGGTGAGGGGAAAGCGGGTGCCTGGTGCAGCATTTTCGGAGATGTCCATGTCCACTTGGTCAGAAGGGAATGACGGTGCGTTGTCGTTCAGGTCCTGAATCTCCACTTTGATCATGCAGATCTCCTGGTCATTGGCGAACACCTCGAGGGACAGCTGGCATTTGGTGCTGCGCCGGCACAGCGCCTCACGGTCAATGCGCTGCTTGGTGTAGAGCAGCCCGCTCTCCCCGTCCACGTCCAGGAGGTGCGGGGCTGAATTCTCCAGAACTCGGAAGGTAGACTTGGGGCCGCGGCCGCCCCCGGGGCCGCCACCGGGAACGCCACGCTCCGCGGGCAGCATCCCGCCTCCCGCTGCCAGCCGCGCATCGCGCCCGATGTTCCCGATGACCGTGCCCGCTCCCTGCTCCTCTGGCACCGAGTAATTCAGGTTCTTCAGCGACAGGGCAGGAGCCCAGCAGAAGAAGAAGCAACAAATGGAAAGGTACATCCCCGAGCAGGCGTGGGGGCGGCAGGAGCAGCGGCGACGACCAGGGTTGTCCCCGTCTTCTTTGCCTCCTGCGCTGGGGTTGCTCTTCCTCCTCCGACCGTTCTTTCTCTCCTTCCTTTTTGTTTTTGATTTTTTTTTCCTTCTCTTTCCCCACCCCTATATTTCAAGTTCCTGAACCTGTTGCTCTAAAACATCTGCAGAGACACAGGATGAGAGGCAGCAAATAGACCATGTAGCTCAGAGGGAGGGAGCAATCGGGGG